AAGAAAAAGTCTTGCTGTGGCCCACAACCTTTGCAGGGAAGATCTCAACTGCACCCCACTTCTTCCAGGATTGCAGGTATGATTTACAATGATGACATCTCTCGTCTTGGAGAACCATCTGAATTAGTCATGAGGGCATGAAAATATTCACAAAGGCATTTACACAAAAGGAGTGAGTCATTACCCCCACAGTGCTAGACTATTATTTGATTAAATTCCTGAAGATTATTTGCTAAACCGACAGCAACTTCATCCCCGACACTGTTGAGAAACACCTGTTGACCCTCTCAGTACTCACAATATGGAAACACGCCTGACATCTTTAAGGTCTTTTTGGGTTCTGGAGGCAACATATTGGCCATTTATAAATTTTTCTTAAGGACATTTATGCTTTACTTGCACATCAGACCATCCTCAATGAGGCCCTCTCCATGAAGTTTCCATAATCTCTAAATTGCAATAATTAGGATTTCCTCTACTGCCCCAGAGACACCTTCGTTGGAGAGGCTTCAGCAACTTTTCATGCCTCCTGGAGACTCTGAACCACCCATGATGACTCTACATTGCCCCTGGGCTCCGGATGCAAGACACTGACCTGCTTAGCTACGTGCTGTATGTCCTTGCTAGCTCCACATTGGATCTCCTGGAAATAGAGGCTCTCACAGCTGCTGAGCCTGCGACCCTCCTTCCCCAGGTGGCTACCCTGCCTTGGAGTCTAGAAGCAGCACCCCACTAGCTCAGCACAGGTATGGGAGGCCTCCTTACCACACCACAGAGCCAAAAGTGGGCCCTCTGGCATCTTTCTTCTGCAGGAAGGGGGAGCAGGCCCACCTTGTCCTCAGTACCTTGCCACATGCTAAAGAGGTCACCATCCCCTCCAAAGCTCCTTGGCTACCTGAGAAACCCCTTGGGATCCACTGAGTAAATAGCAGTTCGTATGCTGTAAGATGGCACAACCAGATCATGATGAGCTCAGTGGGGATTTACTGCTTTTCAGTTCTGAAGGATATTCCTGATAAACCAGGGCAGGAGGGTCACTCACGCATGGCAATTCAGGCAGTCTTCTCAGCACTGACCAACATCCAACCCAATATGCACTGTTTTACACACCACAGGGCCTTGCCTAAGGCTCCTGCACAACACAAGGCGTCACCAGGATACTCCACAACCCACTTCACAGTCCCAGACATTACTGAGTGACCAAGGACTCATTTCACTTCCCAGAACACACAATGCTGGGGTCCTGAACGAGGCATTAGATGGAACTGTCGCCTCCCTTAGTGGATTAAGCTGCCAACCTCACTGAGCACCATAATACCTTACTTACATAAATCCCAATTCAATGAAAAAAACGAGGTGCATCTGATGGACAGTTAAACATCAGGGGAAATCCTAAGAAAGAGTCTGACTCCATTTTTATGTTTGTTGACAGCTTTTAATCCTCACTCCTCCCTCCTTCCTGTTGTCCCTACCCCTGGGCAACCTGATAAGAAAGCCCAGGGCCCCCACTTCTGGTGCAGGCAGGGGGTTCGAACCACCCAAGTCCCACCTGGGTGAGTGTTCCCTCACCCTGACCCCAGTTCCTAACTGTAGAGATGTTAGAAAAGGCATAAAGCTCTGGGCAAAGGGACTGTGAGGAAGGTGGAAATCTGGCAGTCTTGCAAATGGGACTTGGGATACGACTGGTATCAGCCGGCTGCACACAGCAGGCTGCGCAATGCAGGTGAGCGTGACTGATGTTGCGCTCCTGCCCGTCTGTTCACAGCCTTCAGGAGTCAAGGAATCCCAAGAAAATACGGATATGTTGCATATCACTAACTAGATTCCTTTGGAATAATGCGTTTACTGGCACCAGAGATTTTATCTATATGTTTTCCAAACATTCCGTCTGTATGTTCTTTGCTTTGACCTTGCATGCCTTTCTCTGCAGTAAATACAGAGGTTTGGAGAGGTACAGGAGCTCTTTGAAAGGTAAAGAGTCTCCCCTCCTCTTTCAGCCTGAGTCTGTGGTCTGGAGCGTTCTTCGTTGCGCCGAAACACTGCTAGAGACGCTGGACGACCTCTACACTGACCGCAAGAAAAACTCCAAACCAGTCTCGATTTCCTGCTCTCTCAATCCGTTTACAGATCATGCGCAGGCCTGCCCTGCTCTCCTGCAAAACCTCAGTATGTAGAAATAAACCTGTTCCTATCGTCTTACCGCGCGCGTGTGCGCGTGTGTGTGCTCGCACGCATGTGTCACCACTGGTCTCAACATCTGGACCCATTTTGAATAGAGATCGATTTATCCCACGTGGTGTGGTCACGACAATACTTAGGATACTGTAGAACCCCAGGATAATTCTTGGGATATTCTAGTTACAGGAAGTATGGTATATTGTTTTGTTGTTCAACTACCCATAACGTTACTACTCAAACAGGTCCCTTGCCCACCACCCAGTAAAGGCCTATATACTGAGACAGCAGGAGTCGCTGTGGAGAAAGAGATTAATTATACAAGGCACCAGGGGAGGAGATGGGAATAATTTCTCAAATCCTTCTCTTGAGAATTTTGTAGCTAAGATTTTTTGTTTGTTTTGTTTTGTTTTTTTTGAGACAGAGTCTCACTCTCTTGCCCGGGCTAGAGTGCCGTAGCGTCAGCCTAGCTCACAGCAACCTCAAACTCCTGGGCTCAAGGGATCCTTCTGTCTCAGCCTCCCAGGTAGACTACAGGCATGCACCACCATGCCCGGCTAATTTTTTCTATTTTTAGTTGTTTGGCCAATTTCTTTCTATTTTTAGTACAGACGAGGTCTTGCTCTTGCTCAGGCTGGTCTCGAACTCCTGAGCTCAAATGATCCACCCGCCTCGGCCTCCCAGAGTGCTAGGATTACAGGCATGAGCCACCGCACCCGGCCTGTAGCTAAGATTTTTAAGGGTAGTTTGGTTAACAAAGGACTTGGGAATTGGGTCTGCAGATTGGCTGGGGATGAACCCACAGGGTTGGGAAGTAGAAATTGACTGCTTGGCTGAGACATTTCCTGTGTAGGGGGACACAGGACTTGTTGGATGGGTTCTCAAGCATGGTCACTGGTCCAGTTGATGTCAGTCAGTTATCCTGAATGTAGCATCTGAAAAATGTCTCAAAGACCAGTCTTAGGTTTTACAATAGTGATGTTATCTACAGCAGTGACTGGGGAAGTCGCAAATCTTGCCCCTGTCAAGGAGATCTGACCTTAAGCCATGAGCAGTTACAACAGCAGGGAAGAGAGGGAACAGTGGCTGGGTAACTTTTAGCTACATCTATACTTTTATCAAAATCAGAGCTTTATCACAATTCCTGCTTTATGGCCTTACATTATTTTAATAGAGTTAGTTTCAATAAGACAGTTTTTATCCCTATTTTTCTATAATCTTCTATGACATTGTATTTGTCGTTCCCCATTTCTCATGGGGAAGCTGTGAGAATCCAGGATAAATTCATTGCAATTATAAAAGAAAAACCTTTACAAAAAAAAAATAAAGGAATATAGTACTTTTTTTTTTTTTTAGGGTTTAGGAGCTTTTAATGCTGT